CCCCGATTTTTCCCCAATTTTCACCTTTAATGTGTACACGCGCTCCCCGCGCTCGTTCTCGTAGCACTGCAGGAACATGGCGGCGCCCATAAAACACGTGACCGGAAACACGTTCCATATAGGGACATTAAACCGGAAATGGGGCGGGGTTTGGGCAGGAAACGCGCGCGGGGGGTGACGGGAAATTGAGTACGGGAAGGGAATGGGGACTACGGGAAACCGGAAATGAGCGCGGGGAGTGATGGGAAATGAAGTCCCGGAAGTTAATGAGGGGTAAATGCCAATCACAGACCGGAAAAGAGCGCTGGGGATTATGGGAAATGTAGTCCCGGAAGTAAACTAGCGTCAATAAGGGGTCTAAACCGGAAATGAGCGCGGGGGATGATGGGAAATGAAGTCCCAGAAGTGAACGGGGGTTTAAAAGGGGATTTAAACCGGAAATGAGCGCGGGGAATGATGGGAAATGTAGTCCCGGAAGTGAACGGGGGTTTACAGGGGCTCTAAACCGGAAATGAGCGCGGGGGATGATGGGAAATGTAGTCCCGGAAGTGAACGGGGAGTTCGGGCCAACCCATAGGCCCAAAAGGGGAAATTTTGGGGCAAAAAAGGAAATTTTGGGGAAAAAAAAATGAAAATTTGGGGTAAAAAAGAGGAATTTGGTCGAAAAAAGAGGAATTTGAGCCCGAAAAAATCCCAATTTTTGACCAAAATTCCCAATATTTGGGTCAAAATTCCCATTTTTGGGTTAAAATTGCCTTTTTTGGTCCAAAATCCCATTTTTTTTGTAAAAATTCCCATTTTTTTCCAAAAATTCCAATTTTTTTTTGTTAAAATTTCCTAATTTTTTATGAAATTTCCTTTTTTTTTGTTCAAAAATTCCATTTTTTTTCTAAAAATTCCCATTTTTTTGTTCAAATCCTCCCCCACTCGTGGTGACGTCACGGGGCGATGACGTCACCGGAGACCTTCGGCCTCTGCCCCTCCCCCACCCCGGAGCGATGGACGCGCTGCGGTACCGAAAATCGGGAATTTTGGGGGAAAATTCGGGAATTTCGGGAAATTTGAGAATTTTGAGGGAAAATTGGGAATTTTGGGTGAATTTGGGGGGATTTTTGGCTGAATTTTGGGGAAAATTCCAGGAATTTTCAGGAATTTTCAGGGAATTTTTTTTAGATTTTGGGGAAATTCTGGAATTTTGGGGGAAAAATCGGGAATTTGGGGAAATTCGGGAATTT